CACACACACATACATACATACATACAAACATACATACATACATACATATACATACCCACAAACATACATACATACACACATGTATATACATACATTGTTTCAATTTCAATTTCTATACACACAAACATACATACACACATTGTTTCGATTTCAATTTCTATACACACAAACATACATACACACATACACACACATAAATACATACATACACACACACACACACAGACATAACTTTCACACACAGGAATAAAAATGTAATTCCAAATGAACTGGCAACTTTATATTGCTGTATTAGATTGTATCAATTTATTATCTCTATGTGTATGTTTGCATGTGTGTGTGTGTATGTATGTATGTGTGTGTGTGTGTGTGTGTGTGTGTGTGCGCGTGTGCGTTGGAAGTTTACGTGATGATATGGTTCTTTAACATTAATTTCCCTATATATAATTAAGGTCGTGTCATGCTGCTGATGATGATGGCGATGATGATGATGATGATGACGATGACGATGATGATGCTTGCGATGTTGATGATAGTAGTCATGATGAGAGTTATGATGATGATGATGATGATGAGGATGATGTTTGTAAAGATCATGACTATAGTTGTAGTATTGATGATGATGATGATGATAAAACTTCAGAGAACTCCGGTTTAATCTTAAAACATCAAATAAATGTTGCTGCTAGCAGGTTAATGTATCCATTTCTAATTCATTCATTCATTCGTTCATTCATTCATTCATTCATTCATTCATTCAGTTTCGCATGGCATTTCCTATATTTTATTCATTCATTCATTCATCTTTTTCTCTATTGGTTGCTTCCTTCTTTCGTCTATTTCTCCATTTCTTCTTCTTCTTTTTCCATTCGATCATTTATATTTGTTGTTCTTGCATTTTGCATTTTTTTCACTTTTTGCTTAATTCACTCATTCACTCACTCACTCTTCAACTCTTTTATTAATTTTTTTATTCATTCTTGCATTCTATCTATTATTTATTTGATTAATCGGTCAGTGTTAGTATGTTATTTATTCATTCATTTATTCATTCATTCTTTCATTCATTCATTCATTCATTCATTCATTCATTCATTCATTCATTCATTCAACCAATCATTCATTCATTCATTCATTTATTCATTCATTCAACCAATCATTCATTCATTCAACCAATCATTCATTCATTCATTCATTCAACTAATCATTCTATCAATCATTTAAACATTCATTTTTTTGCTGCATCCTTTTCACTTAGCCATTATTCATCTGAGCAAATAAATTACATTGCTTGTATGTGTGTGTGTGTGTGTTTATGTGTTTATGTGTGTATGTGTATGTGTGTGTGTATGTATTTTGTTATTATTTTTGTTAACCTACTTATTACATAATTATTGAGAATATGTTTAGCTTCGGTTCATTCGTTCGTTCATTCATTCATTCATTCATTCATTCATTCATTCATTCATTCATTCATTCATTCATTCTTTATTCGTTCGTTCATTCATTCATTCATTCATTCATTTGTTCATTCATTCATTCATCTATTCATTCATTCGTTCATTCATTCACTCATTCATTCATTCATTCATTCACACTTAACGGTTTGTTTATTATCATCAGCACTAACATGCCACTACATCTTTTAATTCCTCTTTCATAAATTTATTCACTCTTTCGCTCATTC